TACACTGACACTGACCGCACTGTCTTCAGTGACATACTGACACTAAGTGCACTGACTGCAGTGACACACTGACACTGCGTACCACTGGAGCGTTGAAGACACTGGAGCACCGACGTTTACTGATATGCCAGACTTATCTACATCAATAAACGTCGGTGCTCTAGTGTTTTCAACGCTCCAGTGGTACGCAGTACCAGTGTGGTCACTGCTCCAGTGCACTCAGTGCCAGTATGTCACTGAAGGCAGTGCGGTCAGTGTCAGTGTATCACTGCAGACAGTGCGCTGAGTGACAGTGTTTCACTGCAGTCAGTGCGCTCAGTGTCAGTGTGTCACTGCGGACAGTTCGTTCAGTGTCAGTGCCTCACTGCAGACAGTGCGCTCAGTGTCAGTATGTCACTGCCAGTAATTCACTGTTTTCACCGAAACTGCACATCCCTATTTACAGTTAAAATAGTGGAGATCCACGTGATTTTCTAGGTACATCTACAGAAGGTTATTCACTTTATTAAAAGCTTTCGAGCTCATTTTTTGTCCTTAGGAAGAGGAACATTAGACTAGCACAACCGTCAAAGGATTCTTTTAGATATTGAGATTTGACCGAGATATCAACATTTCTACATATAACACACTTGCGTCAATCCCGTAAAATTCGCGTTTTTCTGAAAATTACGCAAAAGTGCTATATGTAGAAATGTTGATATCTCGGTCAAATCTCAATATCTAAAAGAATCCTTTGACGGTTGTGCTAGTCTAATGTTCCTCTTCCTATGGACAAAAAATGAGCTCGAAAGCTTTTAATAAAGTGAATAACCTTCTGTAGATGTACCTAGAAAATCACGTGGATCTCCACTATTTTAACTGTAAATGGTCATTTTTTTTCGGCCAATATAGTTTTCCGCCGATCTTCAGTCTAACTAGAAGGAAAAAAAATATGAAAAAAACTTTTTCCAAAAAAGTGGTAGAAATCCCATGGAATCACCCAGTGATCTAATCAATGTAGATGAAGAAGATAAAGATGCTGCAATGACACAAAACTTTGGTGAAATTAAAGCTGAAAAAATAAATTTTGCTGGTATGCGTATATTCGATTCGATTAATCCAGCAATAAAAAACTCCTATTTTCAAGTGCAAATAAATAACAAGACTAAATTTATACACAAGCAAACGGCTTGTTGGTTATTGACCGACAAAGTTAGTCGTTTATCGGCTGATAGATTATCACGAGTGATAGAAACAAACAAAAAGGATTGCAAATCTTCATCAGATTGATTTGGATAGATGGAAAATTTCTTATAAAAATAAACCACTTCATTCAAAAAGCATTCACTTATTAATTATCATGTTTTCTAAGATCAAACAAGCTTGAATTTTTTCCAGTGCATTAAAAAAAACAATAAAAAGTTCACCTTTCTACTAAAAGAAGACCGTCGAAAACAAGACAATTTCATTGGTTTCTTGTGAATTTTCATACACGAAATGTATTTCAAAGCTTCCAGAAGACTTCAAGAGACCTCATCAGACTTTATGAGACTTTAGAGACTTCAAGAGACTTTATGAGAACTCATAAGACTTCAAGAGACTTCAGAAGACTTCGAAAGACTTTCAAGACTTCATGTGACTTCAGTCTTGAAGTCTCCGCTGTTTCCTCCTTGCATTTTAGATATATTGCTGTTCAAATTTTCTGAAACAACAAATGAAATATTTTCCTTCGATAATATGACTGATGTGAATAAGTACTATTGTAAGCAGCGGAGACCTAATTATATTTTTGGCTCGGTACTCTTCCGATTGAGATCCATTCAATAATCAGTACACAAGTGAGACTCATTCTATACGTTCGCTGACTGTTTTGTAACACAAATCAGGAGGTTGCTGCACCTACACGAAGTAACGTTCGTCTAAATTCCATCACAGTTACTTGATCGATGATGTTTCTTGTTATCGCTCACATCTTCCTATACTCTCTTCATATTTTCTTGTAAGATCTTTTTCGGTCTTACCAGAAAAATTCAGCTTCAGGTAAGTTGCCATAGTTATTCTCGAATTGTAACTCTTTATAGTTGTGTGCTTATTTCATATACTAACACACATAAGCGAATGGCAAAAGCTATCTCGTAATATCCTGATCAGAGATGGACAGCTGCGAGTCCAGAGCCCCCTCTCCATGGAGCTAGCTCTGTTTTAGGAACAGAGCCGTGCGATGGGTTAGAATGGTGGAGCTGGAACAGAGTCGGAGCGGATTCTTTTTAACTGACAGCGGAGTCGGAACTGAGCGCCTCGTGAATAAAATAGAGCTGGAGCAGAGTCA